CTCTGATTTCTGGCTCATCAGGTGTTCACTCTGTGCCAAGTGTCCTAAGTGCAGTGTCTCCATGACATCTAACATCAACCCTATAAGGGAGGTCTATCCTTTACCCCATCTTACAGATCAGGACATTGAGGCCAGAAGAGGTTAATTACTTTTCCCAGGTCACCCCACAGTATGTGGTATGTGGGGTGGTATGTGGTACAGCTGTGATCCAAACCGCAAGGCCATTATTTTGAGTTTTGAATTTTTTCTAAAGTAGATAATTTTTTACTTTGTAATGCATTCTTGTGCAAGTACACGTATACCTCCATCATGTGATTCACATATTGTATAAGATGATACATTTTTTATTGCTGAGTATAAGGACACTAACATCATTACACTACCTCCCCTGATTTTCTTCTCTGCTCTTCTACATGACCATAAGCTGCAATATTTATATTATACTCTGGAAATCCTGAAGTCATATTAGCTTTGTTTTTACACTGAGGAGATACTAGAGACTAGGTTCATGATCCATCCTTCTTGATTGGCCGAGTGTCTTCAAGAAGGATTAACGTAAAAGGAGGTTTCTGAGTTCTTGCTTCTTCGACAGTAATCCAAACGAGCTGAACATGTTCTTTCTCTGAGGACTTTGTAAGCCCTGTGTCCTTGTATCCTAGACTTGAGTTCTGACAAAGTTTCAGTCCTCTCTGATGGCTCCCCTTAGAACTGACTGGGGACCCTAGGTTCCTCCCGGGGCTACTCATGTTTGAGCGTCGCTTGGAAAAAAAAAAAGAAAAAGAACTGACTTGATCATTTTTTTCTGGATGCCCGTTGGATGCTTTTTTTAGCTCTGAAGTCCAGCAACTTTAGTAAGAAATGCCTCAGCGTTGACTGTTCTCTGCTCATCTACTGAGACAGTGGTACCCTTTAAATCCATCTATTTAGGTTGTCTTCTTCTGCAATTTTAAAAATTATATCTCTTGGATTTTTTTCTCAGTTTTAAACATACCTGAAAGTGCATTTTTATAGATATGGTCCTCATTCTTTTTGACTGTTACTCACCTGTGAAATCAATTTTAGAGGACCAGGTATTTGTCAGGTAGCACTGCTGGAGAGAAGAGAGTTTTTTTCTAAGACAGGTGTGTTTACCTGTGTATCACTGCTGCCTCGGTCCAGGTGCTCATAACTGTGCATGCACATTAGAACACCTTCTAGCTTCTAAAAACCATCTATGCCTTGGATCATTCCAAGGTTTTTCATTTAACTGGCCCAGAAGTGGTGCTTGAGAATTGGTGTGTTTTAAACTCCCCAAGGTCATCCTAAGGTATAGCCCGGTTGGCCCCTCGTATTCATGAGCACAGATCAGCAGCACTGGGGCCCCTCTAGACTGAGGGTCTGTCCTCTTCTCTATTTCTCTACCAACCGCTGGGCCCCAACAAGGGCTCCACTTTGAGGTACCCCACTGAGTCCCAGAAAGCTCCCAGGGTCAGCCACACACTGATTCCCTGGCTCAAAGAGAGGACTGTTCTGCTCCTCTGGGAATATTCTTTATTTTTAATGTCAGCATTCTGCTGGCTCTGCTAGAGATCCTCAATAGCCAGAATCCTTTCAGGAAGTATTCTGTTAGACACCTGGCCTTCCGATGTGTGGTTTATTAGTCACAGGTTTTTCAGAGTCCTTGAATATGGAAATTGCATTTCTGTTTCTCAGTCTCCTTGACGGTGGATGATTTCAGAGATGCAAAGGTGTCTTTACTTTGCAATTTTACAGTTGGGGCTCTGTGTCATTTTTCTACTTTAATGACTCTGGCTTTTAATATATTTCAAAAATTGAGTTTCTCAATATCATCAATTTTAAATTTTAATGAGACAAAGCTATTTATAAATGAAATTTTATAAATGCGTTGCAATTCAACGTATTGTATGACAATTTGATTAGTAAGAAGAGGAAATGTGCTCCTTTTAAATTAATCATGCTTACTTACATATAAAGTACACTGGTCAAATTTATATGCACAATTAGGCACCTGTTTTAAATTCAACTGCATGCAGAAAGAGATGATCATGTGAGTCTAAGAAAATAATTTCTTCTCCTCATTTTTGGGGGAAAATTATATTTTGTTTCCATAAAAACTTTAAAGATGATCTAAAATACCACAATTTGTGTATCTACATAGATGCATAATAATAGACCTTTTCAGTCCAAACTACAGTGACCATTTTAAAATTTTCTGATTATAGTACAAAGTTAACATTTCATTATGTAACCATTAGTCATACAATGGCGTTGAACTCAAGCATCATTTGAGAAAAAGAAGCAAGCAGACCAAATTAAGCTTGTATAGAAAAGCAAGTCATGAGGAGTAGTGAATACTGCCAACAAAAACACAAAACTGGGGGAAAGAACAACAAGAAAACAACTTATTTCTCTATTATGGCTCTATATCCTAACACAAACATGACTGGTCACCATCAAATTCAAAAGAACATATACTTTGTTCAGTCCATTAGTAAATATTTATAGAGGCCAGCACTGCGCCAGGCCCTGAAGACATGGAGATGAAAAGATGTACTTCCTGTTTTCAAGGAGCTTAAATCCTTGGGAGATAAATGTGCAAATAAACAGTAAGATTATTGCCTTAGTGGGGGCCTGCTGCCCCCAGGGCAGTTCTCTCCTTGAGTCAGGCTTCTCAAGCCAACACACTCTCTGAGGAAACTCCCTCCCTCAAAGAGTACATGGGTTGAAGTCATTGGAAGTCATAGTGAAGAAAGCTGAATCAGCTTGAATATAATGCAGCCTTTTGAGTTTAGGCACAGTTGCTGCATTCAAAATGGCCAGGAAGTGATTTGATTTAGCAATAGGATTCGAAAGGACTGGAGGTTTTTGTGCAAGGACAGCCTCCCTACTGAATGTTGGCCACCCTCCATACGAGACATGGGTACACCCAGTTAGCCTCCCTTAAGAGAAAGAGCTGCTGGCTCTGAGAAGCCGTGCGTTCTAGCTGTGCCCCAGCTCTTAGGATTCCTGCAGCTTGTTTCAACAGTTTACCAAAGCTATATATCCATCTCCCATACCACACCTGTGATTTCCTGCTCATCCCTGAGGGTCACTGGTATAATGCGTAAAAGTCCTCTGCTCTTAGGAGCCGAGGGGAAGGCTGTAAGAATGATTCCAAAGCCAGATAAGTTTAAGAGAGTACAGCAAATTGAAATGCTTCCACATCTGCTGGCTTCTAAATTTTTTGACTTTACAAAATTATATCATTGGCCAAAGGGATGGAAGATTATCTGTCTAAATTCAATGCTGGAAATCCACCTCTGAGGGCATATTAAAATACAAGAGTAAAAATTTAGGAATGTTATTTGCAAAATTCACTTTTTTTTAATACCAACTATTGTGTTTTTTCAGGCCAAGTTCAGTATTCTATTCCATCCAGAGGCTGTAGCCTTGTGGTTTAGTTCATATACCAGAAAAATATTCCTCAATCAGTGCAAGACCTTCACATATTCTTTCTGAAATTCCCGTACTTGGCCCAGAGTTCTTGATGCCATCCTGCAATAACACCGTCTGGGAGCTGCCATCACTAAAGGCTGGGGCGAGAGGAGGATTTATCAGCCACTGTTCCTGATGCATAAAGATTGATTGGCTGGGTTCATAGCAGTTGCCATCAGGGTTGAAAGGAACTCATGCTTTCTTCCCTGGCCATGGAAACCCCCCATTTTACAGCTGTCCACTGAGATAATGAAACCACACTAAAAGTCACAAAATAGATTTGGCTTCCAAAGATAACCACCACCCTGCTATACACTGAGATTTTTCTCTAAGATTCTGTGAGTGTCTAAATGCTCTTAAATGCACCTGGGCCTTGACACTTCAAGGAAAAATTGTTTTGTTTTTGTTTTTTTTTCAAATGATTCTGATAACGATTCTGTTATGGACTAAATGTTTGTGCTCCCGCCAACCCCAAATTCATATGTTGAAGTCCTAACCCCCAGTGCGATGGTATTAGGAGATGAAGCCTTTGGAATGTTGATTCAATTTAGATGAAGTCATGAGGGTGCTCTCTCATGATGGGATTATTTCCCTTCAAGAAGAAGCCAGAGAGTTTTCTCCCTCTTCCTCTTCCTCCCTCCATGTGCAAGCCAAGGAGAAAGGCCTCACCAGATCCAACCATGCCGGCACCCTGATCTTGGACTTCCAGCCTCCAGACTGGTGAGAAATGAGTTTACATTATTTACACCACCCAGTCTATGGTATTTTGTTATGGCAGCCTGAGCTGGCTAAGACAGATTCTCAAAGCTGGAATAATTGTTTAGAATTCCATGGGTTTTTTTTTTTTTTTTGATTCAGTAATGAAATTTGTACAACTTGCACAGAATTGTAATAAATGCAATGATATCAAGTAAATGGCAGATGCTAAGTGCTTTCATTACTGTATATAATGGCACATTTCAGGACTTCCTAGGACAAGCCACAGATAAATGTATAGATTTGAGTACATCATATTCATGTATAAGCACTTCCCACGCATCTATTATACAGTTGATGGATATTCATTAAGTATTTCCTTAGCTGTCTTCTGTTCCAGGATTACTTTCCAGCTCTCAAGCACTCACTCAGTGGCTACTATTTCAGAGACATAAGACTTACCTTGCCTACTAGGGTATGGTTACATGCGAAAGGACACCAAGTCTTGTTTACCTTTGAGTCAACAAGCCCTGAACCTTGGTCAATGAAATATTTTTAAGTGCTCTAATTAAGAATCAAAAATAGTCTAAAATCAGGGACATTTCACTCTCCACAGACACTGCTGAATATCCACCCAAAAGCAGACTGTACTTTATAGACTGCAGGGGAGACTCTATCACAATCTAGGCAGATGATTACTATCTGCCGTTGTGTTTCTTAAATGCTCTATAGCCAATCTTAACAGAAAATATCAATCACACAAGTATTCTTTCCATTTCATAAACATTGTAAAAAAGAAACTGAAAATGTGTTTTAGCGGTAAGACAGACCTATCTCATTAAAGCCACTGTAGCCCAGCTCTTGCCTGCTAAGTCCCAGGTCTTCAAGGTCCATGCATTTAAATCCTGGGGGGCATTGGTAGCCTTCTTCCAGCTCTGGTGAGCAGTGTGTATCTGGGATAGCTAAGCTATTCCAGGTTACATTTCTGTGAACAAATTACAAAGAGTTAGCCGATTTCGACGCTTGTAAATGTTGATCAAAATGAGTAATGTAATCACCCTTCACTAACATCTGCTCCGTATGGGCACAGATGTAAAATTCATGATTCCCGAATGGTGTTCATAGCACTGATGACGGTAAACATTTCTCAAATGGTACCTGATTCATCCTCATGGTAGCGCTTTATAAGAATACTATTACCATCATTGTTTTTGTCATTAAGGACCAAGACCCAGAGAAGCAAAGGAAAGAATTCTCCTGTAGATTTGTAAGGAATGTTAATGTGCTTGGGGCTTCCTTGTTATTCACAAAATGCTTAACCTACCTGTGGGTACAAATTTTACTTCTCCACTTCTAAGCAATAGTAAATGATGACAGTCATTTTCCATATGGTACGACTACTATGAGTCTTATAAATGACACCTGGTCTTCCTCTGTGTTGGCAGAGGAACACGAGGGTCATTTAGGTGGACAGTGATACATCCCTGTTTCATTGTTCTGGAGGGCAACGTGGAGATTAAATTGATGTACAAGGATTTAGATAAGTAATGGCTTTCTTGGGAGCAAGGACAGGTCATCATTGGAACGGCGACTGTGGAATCTCATTCTGGGCTGACCTTTAAAATGGGCCCCGAATAGCTGCTATCGGAGGCAATTCACGTGGCTTGTGCAGTGGCCAAAGTTTAGGCTAGACAATTTCACAAGCCTTCTAAATCCATGATTTTATTACAACTCATTTCCCACTACTTCGATGTTTCTAGGCATTTCCTAAGTGGGGACTGTCGTCAGGACAGTCTCTGTCCCTCAGCTTATGGCCCAATTGAGGCAGACGTGTTGGGTCATATTTCTTCTTTAATACCCTCTTACATTCAATTGGCTGCTTTCTTCCCTGTATATAATATGCTTTCTCTAGAGTCTGACACCTAACTCTCTGAGATCAATTACCTGCATGAGGCCACCGTGCACACACACATTCATGAGTTTACATACACACTCCAGGCCTGGTGACACTTCACCCAGTTCTGTCTCAGTCATAAACAAAGCTCTAAAAGCCTCACCTGCATTTCAGACACTTCAAGTGTGTTCCTTCAGATTCTGTTAGCTTCAAGGAAATAATCTGTCTGCTGGCTCGGGGAATAAGTATTTAAAGAATTGTTCCCAATCCTATGTTAAATTGCTCCTTTGGATCCCCCATGCAAAACTCCAGGGGAAAGGTCTTGTTGTGGAAATTACCACTTGGTTATGTCAGAGAGAGATGGTTTTAGGCAGACATATCATGTATTTCTCTTCATTTCACCTTTTTATATGTAAGCTAAATTTACATGGCAAATGGAATCTTTGCTGATGTCTGGTCTGAGTTTCTGGTGTGGAACCCACACATTGGGGCAAAGTGGTAAGGGGACTGGGCTTCAGAGTTTCAGAGTAAGGTTTTCTGGGTTTGATCTCAAGCTCTGCCAATTACAAGTGGTGTGACTTGAACAAAGTTCTAAATGTCTCTAAGCTCAGTTTCTTCGTCTGTCAGCTAGGGAGAGTAACCGTAATTAGAAGCAAAGCCTGTGTGAAGATTAAGTAAAGGAAACCAAGGAAAGCACTCAGCCTAGCACCCAGCATGTTACAATAAAGAAAGGCTCAATAATAACAATAATGCTCAATAAATGCTTATTATAAACAATTAGTGATCATTACGATCATAAAATGTAGCATACAATTAAAACACATGTAAAAACACAATAAAGACTTGTCAGAAGAACAGAAGGAATTCAGGCACATGATACCGACAGCATTTTGTTCACGGGATTATGCAGCTGAAAGAAACTTTATAGGTCACCCAATTCTTAACTTAAGAAAGGTGAAGGTGAACTTCAGAGAGGGAAGCCCATCGAAATTAATTTTTTTTTTCATTTCTAAGACTTTAAGAAGACAACAGCAGCAATGGTTAAGAAAGCACTGTCTCCATGAAAAAGTTCAAAAAAACATCACCTTTCAGCTGTTTGGGTAGGAAATTGGACTCCAGAGCCAGTCTGCTGGATGTGAATTCTAGCTTCGCCCTTACTGCATATGTGGCCTCCCCTATCTGTGCCTCAGTTTCTTCCTCAGGCGATGGCAGGGAAATGCCTCTCTCTCAGGACTCTGGCAAACCTGGAGTGACTTAGGTCTGTAAGGTACTTAAAACGGGGTACTCGGCAGACGGCAAGTATCAGGTGTTACTGACTGCTGTTGGTATCTCGAAATTTGTAGACTGCTTAGATTGGAACTCTAGTCCTGGTGTGTGCTGCCTCAGTTTCCACATTTCTAAAATGGGGATAGCCTTTTTACCTATTTGTAGGAGTGTCTTAATGACTAAATGAGCTAACGTACAACTCCCAAAATAGCACTGGCAATTAGTCAATCACTCAATAATTGTCACCTATTATGACTATGCTTTCACTGGTTTGTAAGTATTAGAGTATTTTTTTCCTTTTTTATTTGATTTAGTTTTTGTTTCTTTCATATTAACACTGATTTTCATTTCAAGCACAAACTTCACCAGCACAGATATTATGTTGAAATCTTTTGGCTTCAGAGGCAGCAGATTTGAAACATATTATTTTTGCCAACATCAAGCTATTAGCAAATGCTTGTTAGAGACACATTTATTAGATGATTAATTGCCCTGGAACTCATGTATCTAAAACCACATGATGATTACTCTTTTGAAAAGTGGAAATAAACATCAAGAGTTTCAGAATGTGTATTTGTTATTTATCTTAGTTTCGTTGTCACAGTTAACAATTATCTTCCAGGTGTTATTTTTATTTGTTAATGTTAATTATTTCCTTGTTCATCTTCCCTCAGATATTCATGATAGAACACAAGAGGCTCTCTGGAATTAGGGAGGGTAGAATTCTTGCTAACCACCAGCCAAACCTAAATACAGACAATGATTCTTCCAGGCCTAATATTCACTCATGCTTAAGTGGATTTCAAGACCTGCATTCCTTACTCACAGTTGGATTTCTTGAAAAAAAATTATCTACTTCTAATCCCTCTGACTTAAGTTTTAGCCCATTTACATGATCTCCAATCCACTGAATTTGCTCTAGTTTATTTCCACGTGCCCCATCCAACTGGAACACTTTCAGTTTTCATCTTCTACGACTTCTAAGCAGCATTCCACATGGTTGTTTTGGTGGTAGGCGGAATAATGGCCCCCTAAAGATATCCACATACTAATCTCTGGAACACTTGAAGATGTTATGTTACATGGCAAATGTAAGTAAGGTTATAGATGTGAACAAGGCTAAAAGTCTTGAGTGATCATCCTGGTTTATCTGGGTGGGCCCAACCTAATCACACAAGTCCGTAAAAACAGAAAACCTTTCCCAGTTGTGGTTAGGGAGAGACAGAGAGGCAGTGTTGCTGGCTTGGAAGATGCTAGTTTTGTCCCTGTTTCTCAGGTCATTCTCCTTTTCCATCTATTCCTCCTGTAACTGGCCCTCAGGCCTGAGTTACTCTGAGCTTGGTCCTTAGCCTCCTCTCTTTTTTCATGATGCTCTCTATGCAGACAAATCCATCTCCATAGTTTCAATTCTCTCTCATCCTAGGTGTCTTTTAGTCTCAGAGTTACGTGTCCAACTACCTAGTAGATGTCTCCACCTGGCTACACCCCAAGTGCCTCCAACTCTACACCCCTTACTGAACACAGACTCCTTCACCAACATTTCTTCATAACAAGCAGCACCATGAGACCTTCATCCAAAGTACTGAGCAAGCTTGAGATTGTGGAATCTCCTTGATACCTACTTCTCCCTCAACTTCCATAACTAGTCGTCATGTGTCCCTAAATATACTCCAAAATATCTTTTTAGCTCATTCAGCTCTCACCATCTCCACCTCCACCTGCACCACTATCTCGTCCCCTAACTGGTCATCCTGCAGCCACTCTTAGCCCTTCTGATCCATTAGCCACAGAGCATTAAGACAGACTTTTCATAATCTCAGTCTTACCTGAGGTCCATCTGTGGCAAATCTCATCCATAAGATCCTAAAGGATCTGGCTCTTCCCCTTTCAAGTGTCCTGGTATCCAACCATGGTGGCCTCTCCCAGCTCTTGGTATGCTCCTTCTACCTCAGGACTTTTTCCTCTGCTTGGAGATCTCTCCTCCCATCTTTGCTTGGTTAACCCATCTTTCAGCTTTCGGGCCCCCCAGTCTGCATGTCACTTTCTTAGGGAAGCCACTCCAAGTCCCTCAGGCTGGGTTAGGCTTCTCTGCTATAATTTCTCCAAGTACCCACACTTCACATTTCAGGCACTTGGGAAGTGTCTAATTCATGTTTGAGTGGTCAACTGTTCATTGGATGTCTTCCAAACTCGACTATTCCCCAGTGTAGCCTGCAATTCCTTATAGCCCCTAACACATAGTCTGTGATGGTTAAATTTATGAGTGAATTTGGCTAGATTATAGTGCCCAGTTGTTTGGTCAAACACCATGTAAATGTTGCTATGAAGGTAATTTTTTAGATATAATTAACATTTAAATCAGTAGATTGTGAGTGAAGCAGATTACTCTACATAATGTGCCTGGGCGTCATCTAATCAATTGGAGGCCTTCAGAAAAAATACTGACATCTTCTGAAAAGAACCCTGCCTCCAAATTACCTTTGGATTCAACACTGCAACAACAGCTCATTCTGAAATTTCTAGTTTGCTGGCCTGCTCTGAAGATTTTGGTCTTGCTAGTCCCCACAATCACATGAGCCAATTCTTTAAAATGAATTCTACTGGGGTGCTTGGATGGCTCATTCAGTTGAGTATCTCACTCTTGGTTTTGGCTCAGTCATGATTTTGGAGTCCTGGGATTGAGACTCACAGCAGGCTCTGTGCTCGGTGCAAAGTCTGCTGGAGATTCTCTCTCTCTCCCGCTCTTTCAAATAAATAAAATCTTCTAAAAATAAAAATAAATAAATAAATAAAATGAATCTCATTGCTTCCTATATACACATCCT